ATTATAACAATTTGTATAAATGTATATTAGATTGATGATACTAATAATGGAAAAAAACATGGAATTGAAAATTACTAGATAAAAGTTATCAATGCTAAAATAATAGAATGACTTACAATAGGATAAAATATTTATTATTGGATATATTAAAGATGATATAATGAATGATTATAATATAAATAGATACATATTTAGAATACCTTGTTTAAAATGGAGAAACAATTGTGATAATCAAACAAATGAAGTATAATAATAATGTATACAAAGATATTTGATTGACAATATGTGATTTTTGACAAAGCTCAAGTGATGACTATGGAAAGGATGCAGAAAGAGCTGGTAACCAATCGACACACTGCATGCAGTTGAAGAGGTTTTTATGTTATATGTTTTGTGTGTTTGTGTTTGTTTGAAAATTAAAAAAAATTAAATGATCTTCTGACTCCAAGCTTAACAACTGGAAATTCTAATGAATTGTTAAGATTAGGTTCCTGACACCAGAATCTAAATAGCCTAGTCTAAAAGTAAGGTTAATATGTTAAACTTAAAGCTGGAGGCCCACAAAACCAGAAACACAAGTCCTGAAATAGAAAACCCCCATTGCAAAAGTAAACAAACAAAAATAGAAACAAAAACCTTAGTTGCATTGTTAGAATTCTTTGGGAATTGAGTTTTGGCGATAAAGATGTTCATTACCCTACTAATAAACATTGTCAACAATGCTACTTGCTAAGTCACATATCCATTATTGTTTCAAAGTCAGATAATTTCCCAGCCCAGTTTTAATTGATTGCTGTCTGTGACCTCAATAGGATTGAGTTTATTCAAATGATCTGTCCCAGATACCAAGGACTGCCTGTCAGAGACTTTAGGATTTTCCTGACAATATGTTGGGTGAATTTGCTTAGTACCTGGTTTGCCACTAGCAAGGAGTGACAGCCCTTGAAGAAACCATTTCTGACCAGCCTCTAACTACACCTCAATTCTAGGCAGCTCTCTGCTTTCCCAAGGGTCTCCAGGAGATGAGGTAGCAGTCATAATGCCTATAGTATAGGCAGAGGGGAACAAAAATGACCTGACACAACAAAAACGTCCTTATGGAACATATCCTTCTGGAGAAAATATTGACTCTCACCTTACTGGTGTTTTGATGCTGTGCCTGGGCCCTTGAATTTGAGAAAGAGCCCATCTTCTGACTATGTTAGTGATTTTTGTGCTTTTTTTTTTTTGGTTCCTATGTATTTTAATTTTTGTATTTATGATAGAGATTATTTTTAAAAGTTCAAAAATTGCTGTCCACTTGGGGAGATGGGTGGCTATACAAATTGATTGATTAATTAAATAAATGAATGAAAAGTGAAAATTATCCTAACTCTATCCCTAACCCTTTACTCTGGTGACACAACTGAGTTCCTATCGAAGTATCTAGAGGCAGTAAAATTCTGGATGGGAAAGAATAGGCCCAAATTGAACCCTAGCAGATATAGTTACTGTTTGCTAAGAGGTACCTGAGAAGTTGTAAGTCCTGATGGCAAAGCACTACCCTGAAGGAACACGTCTGAAATTTGGGAGTCGTCTTCGACTTTTGTCTCCTGGTGGATTGGCTGGAAGGGGCTTTGCCCAGCTTTGGATAGTGCAACAATTGTGTCTTTCAAAGTCAGACTGATAATATGCCAGCAATGAGATCTTTTTTCATTGAGGAAAGAAATACATTTCAACCAACCATTTCAACCATGAAAGAAGCTAGGTCCCTGCAGGTAAAAGTTAGCCTTATCATTTATAATCCATACTTTTGTAAAGTTCTACAGCAGCAGCAAATGCAGCCTGCCTAACGACACAATCATATAACTGTCATAAAATATGTATTTGCGTCAGGCCTCCTGATACAGGAACATAATCACAGTGTTTGCATATTATGTCATCACACAAATGTTTTGATTTGGCATCACTGCAATTTGTTACAGATGCTGCTTCTTCGCTTTTTTGATGAAGTGATAGACATTCAAGGTCAAGAAAATTTAATCCATTGTTTGATTGGACTGTTAGATTATTATTCCTCTATAATTAGCTTATTTACTTTGGTAACGTAGACAATTGCCTCCCCTTCTGTAATGTTCCCAAAGGAAAATAATAAGGTTTTTTTTTACTCTGGATTTATGATTGACTACAGATGTGTTATGAAAGTTTTCTCCCATGTGGGGCAAGTTTCAAATATGAACTGATCTCCATATGACTTGTATAATTATGTAAAAGAAAGATCACTTGGTAAACAATTATTTGTATTCTGTCTGTTTCTAAAACACCCTTTGCTGTTTCCATTCACATGTGTTGGACTGCAGTTCTCAAAATGCCCAAGTGAGTTGGCCTGGAGGACTTCAGAAGTCTGATCCTGAATATTATCAAAGCCTTGTTAAAAATAGTGTTTAAATATATATGTTGAAATGGATTTTTATATAGAGCCTTTTCCATTTGGATTTTTTTTAGTGCTATTTTATTCTGGTTTTACTTAAAAAGAAAAAGTACAAAGCATTGCCTGTTGGGCAATTTTGCATCATTACAATTCCTTATCTTTCTAGATCTTTTATTTTGCCAGTTCCCAGATAGATGAAATCTTTTTGAACTGGCTAATGGAGGGCAAACAGAGGACACTTGGGAATAAAATACTTTCCACTTGCTTTTCAGAGTATCCTCAAAATTCCTCTGCATGTTGGATGGTAATTGATCAGCATATTACAAAATAAGCAAGAATCAAGCATCACCAATAAATTGTGCAAGCTTAAATTGTGCTAAATTGCAATTTAATACAGAATGATTTATGCCAAACTGCAGGCTTGGCAGATATAAATGAACAAAAGTTCATTTTTTGGTCTCCATACTATGGTCAGGCCACAACCTTGACCAGTGAGAAAAACACACTTACCTTAAATGTGCAGACGTCATTGTCCTTGGCACAAGGAGACATAGGGCTGACAGTGCATTTAGGCTGAGTGCTGTACATGATAGCAATATAGGAGAAGAACATTAATTAGCTCAAGTGCTGGCAGAAAAAAGCTAACGGAATGATGTAACATTTTCATTTTCATTTCAGTTTATGTAACAGTGTGAAATAATGCAAAACAAAAGGTTCTTTATGCACGTGACCTCCTTCTTAAGTATTTTTTTCCTCAGGTCCTTCCAGAGGTGAGATTTTACAGTAATACAAACCACTTTTATAATCACAATAGGATCGTGAGAAACATTCAGCTAAGAGACAGCTTGGTCATCTCAGTTTGAGTGCCTGAGAAAACATTCTACTCTACTCTAAATATTATCCCCGGTAATATTATCTCCTGTGGTTTGATGGTGTAAGCCTTCCAATAAAAGGCAATCATGTTTACAGAGGGAGAAAGAATAAAACAAAAAAAGTCAGTTATGATGATGTGATTCAAACTGCATCTCTTTTTATAAGCATCATTGGTGTGTTACATAAACAAAGGCTTCCATAGCATCATGACCACTTTCTTAGATTTTACTGACCTTCCCTGCTCATTCTCTACAGACTAACATTTTAAAACATGTAGTCCAATGAGGTATGATGGGAGTTGTAGTCTGGCAACACATGTATATGTAGTTGACATTGCCAACAATTAGAGGAAGAGATGCTTACATGTATAGGTGTGTGGGTTTTCTTACTAAAGAAATGGGCTGAATGAATGTTGTCTTTTTCTGCCATATGAATGTGCAGATATAACTTTTATAGTGACATTTGGCTGTATCTAATGTTAGACTGCAGTATTTCAGGCTAATTCTGCCAACTGCCAGCAGTTCCATCCTGACTGGCTCAAGGTTGACTCAGCCTTCCATCCTTCTGAAGTCGGTAAAATGAGGACCCAGATTGTTGGGGGAAATATGCTGACTCTGTAAACCACTTAGAGAGGATGTAAAGCACTGTGAAGCATGATATAAGTCTAAGTGCAGTTTGGAGATTGAATCATGGAAACTGGACTACTTGTTGGTTTGAAACAACCAGAAACTGCTTATTCAAGTAGTTTCTTCAGTCAGAGCAAGTTTCTTAGGGGAACAACATATATGTTCACCAGAGAGGTTTTATTTTGTATTTAATCTTGATAGGATTTGATCGTTGGATGAGTAAGAGGGGAGTCATTGGGATGTATATGTTTTAACATCTAAATCTTTACCTAATGTATGTAGCCTCCCTGGTGAACCTATGAAGTGGTCTTAATCTTCTGGGGGACCGATGAAAAAGCAGCATAAAAATTTACTTAGGTAAGGATTTTCCACTTTAGCCAATATTTCTATGTAATAACTGACATTCTTTGAGGGAGACTTTCTTCCCACCCACCACTTCAAAGCCTTCTTACTTAATGCTGCCCTTGTTTGTGACCTTGGTTTATCACACCATGTGAGCCTCTTCAGCTCAGTAAATGGGCCCATACAAAAAATGTTCAGTTCATGGGGAAGAAAAAGCTTTCACAATAGTGTTGGGATTTTTGATGTGAAAGAGAAGAATTTGCCAATATTTGACAACTATGAGTGAAAGAAAAACACCTCCAGTGGTAACACTTGTGATGTGTCATCGCCTAGAACACTGCTCTGATCTTTGATATTCTTCAAGACCAAGGTCAAGAGATCTTTTTCTTAAAAAAATTAAATCCTGGATTTTTTTTCTGGATTGTTTTATGATGCTATCTTAGACCTGGGTTCCAGAATTTACCAGAAATCAATGATTATAATAGACCAATTAATTTATTATTATGATTCTAGCTAAGGCATCATCTTTATGCATACCCGTGATGGTGAACCTATGACATGCGTGCCACAGATGGGCATGCTATCTATCATCTCAAGCCAGCTCCTCCATGTGTATGGTCTCCCAAACCCCATTTTGGGCCTGGAAAGCCTCCTGCACCAACCTGAAAGTCAAAAATGGGCAAGGGGAAGCAGGGTGCATGTGTGGGCGAGCATAGGGGCATGCGCACATGCACGGGGTAACACACACATGCACAGGGGTGGGGCACACATGGGAGGGTTACAAACACATGTGCTGCGGTGGGGCGCATGGGTGGAGCCATGCACACATTGCCTTATGGGTGTGGACATGCACGTGCTTTCAGCACGCAATGACAAAAAGATTAGCTATCACTGATGTATACTATATGTATTAATCATCTCATTAATCCCAAAAATGACTCTTTCGTCACCAGGAACTGTTTTGCGAATGGCTAATTGTTTGATGATGATTTGCACAATAAATCCAAAGGTATCTTTTGGTAATACATTTATTAGATTTTTTTTAAACAAGAGAAAAATGAACAGAATGAAATAGTTAAGATAAAGAAATGAATTCAAAGGATCAACAAAGGCCCTGTACATCTGAATTCATAAAGTTCAGGACATTATTTTATACCTGTGTTGAATGGTATAGAAAACATGGAAGCTTGTGACAAAATGTCATAAACTGTACAGCTATAATTGATTGCCTGCTAATATAGCTACTTAAATGGACAATTTTATTAGACTTTTATGGTTTAATATAAGATAGTTTTAGTTTCTGGCGGACTTGAAAAACTGAAGAATTAAAATACCATGCATGAAATACAACAGTGATTGTTGATTACAATGATTAGGTCTAATTATTAATTGAACAACATATATGGTGCTTTCTCAGCTACCAAATCCATCCTACCTTAGCCTGGAAACTGACCAGTAACCAATCTTCTGAGACGAGCATGATGTACTTCCAGCTGCAAGGCTCAATGAAGATTTCCATATTCATGATTTATAAGCTCATCCAGCCACTGCTGTAGTGATATATCCCTGATGCTGACAGGCTTCATACTACTGCAGCAATGGCCAGGAAATGTTATAAATTGCTAGTATGGAAATTCTTGGTGTTTTAACTGCCAGATCAGAATAAATTGAAGTACCCATATTGCCTTTCTATGGCAGCTCCTTACAAAACGTAGGCAATAATAAAATAAGTTGGCTGATATATGCAAGCTATGAAGATCATTCTTTTTTTCTAAAGAAAAAAAGTAAATCAGCTGAAAAAAGAAACTGAATGTGATAGCCAAATCTAAAAATCAAGCAGCAGTGCTGATCCCAGAATAACTGATCTTTTGTGGCAAACTAAGAGCAGGCAGTTTTCTGCTTTTTAGGATAAAGTTTTACTTCTTCACTTTCATCCAGCCTACTACTAATTTAAAGCACCCATCATTTATATGTATCAATACTGCTTTTAAACTTTAAAATATGTTATTTATTTATTTATTTACTTATTTTTATTTGATTTATACCCTGCCTTTATTATTTTTCTAAATAGTCAAGATGGCAAATACATACAATCAGTGGTGGGATTCAACCGTTGTAACCACCGGCTCACTGAGTGCACACTTTGCATGCATATGCGCCAAGTGTACACTCCACATGCGCAGTGCATTTGTAAACAGCTTTAAAACTTACCTTCTACTGCAGCCCCGATGAATAAAACATCTGAGGCACGGCAATCTGCTCTGCCGTGCCTATCAGCTGGGCTTCAAACAAAGGAAATATAGGACAGATTAGCACAGGGGTGAATGGGCGGGGCCAACTGATTGCTGGAACTACTGGCTCGCACAAACCTGTCCAAACCAACTGAATCCTACCCCAGCATACAATACTCCTTCCTCTCCCTACTTTCCTCACAACAATAACCCCATGAGGTGAGGTGAGTTGAGAGAGGATGATTGGTCCAAAGTCGCCTACCCACCTTTCCTGTCTTCAGTGAAATTAGAACTCACTGTCTCTTGGCTTCCAGCCTAGTGTCTTACCTACCAATCAAACTGGCTGTACACAGAAAGCAGCTTTCATTTTTTATCTTGAGCAAAACCAAGAGTATATAACATCTACATTAAAAATACATTTCACTGATATTTATGTAAATATATTCATGTAATATATTTTAAAAATATTTTTGTGCTAAGATATTTTGAATACTTACTCATTTTTAATCAAAACCTCAACCAAAATAATCTGTGATTTTTAAGACCTAGAATCTGTGCAAGATACTGAGAAGATAAGTCATGAAACACGATTCTGCCATTATTTCTGTCTCTGCCTCTTTTCCCCTTAAATACACCAAACTCTGTGAGTAACAACAAGTAGTTACAAAATATAAATAAATTGGAGCAAGGGGATGAAATGGATTGAGGGTGCAGTTCTGCTTAATATATTGATAAAGACTTATTAAATGGGCAGATGTAGGATGATGCGGACACCCAAAATGAAAATTTATATTTATCAGTGAATTTAAAAAAAACCTAACATACTGTATCAATACAATGCATAATTGAGCAAGGAAGGCAGGCTGTGTAAAGTGATTAAGAAATGATTGTCTTTACAAAAGAAAGCAAAAATTAAATTTTTATAATAAAAGGAAGAGAGGAAGGAACGGAAGAAAGAATGGGATAAACAGATCAGAGAATTAAAATGTAACATAAGCTAACTTAAAAAAGGTATCTGAGAATGGGAATAATGAATTGAAAAAAGAAAAGACAGATTGCTTGTCTTTCAGCAGAAAGAATGCCATCAAACTCAGAAAGCCAGTAACAATGAGTTGGGACTGTAATGACACTGAATATATAGACATCTCTGAAACCTTCCATATTGCAATCCTTTTGGGAGTGCATGCCGTCCCCAGTGGAGAGTAAAGCCAGACTGCTGATTGTCTCTGCCACTCTTTGTAATCTGTTTACTGGCAGATGGGACTGCAGTGGAAAATCAGTTTTCCAATGACAAAACAAAGGGCAAGAGATTAACAGCTATCAGGGCATCCCTCCTGATGAAAAGGTGCACAGAAGGGAAAAAAAACCTCACATTAGATGTTTAGTCTCCTTCTAATGTACTTCAGTGGATTTCAGGTGGGGTGTATGAGAACAGTGAGCTGTTTCCAACAGTTTATCCTGAGTGCACTTCAATGAGCAACAAGACAGACCTGCTGAAGTCTGAATATTATTCTTTCTTCTCTCTGCTTCTCCTCCCCCAAAGATATTTGCAGACAATCCATCAAAAGTGCTGTTTCTAATTTAAACTCCCTTCTTTTCCTCCTTCTCCTTCAGCATGTAGCACCACCCTTTTCAACACCTGAGTTCACAAAATAAATACAAAAGATTGATCTTGAGAGAGGAGCTTTGAGTAAGAGACGGGGTAATTTAGGAATCTCCACCCAACCCTGGATCCTGCTATTCAGGGTTGGAGACAAACTTTGCTCTTAACTGCAGCACAACCCTAAATGAAACTATCTTAAATTGTTACATATTCTTGTTCATTAACTAGTGTGAGCCTTTAAACAATTTACATGTTGGAATGACATAAAAGAAAATCAGATCAAAAATCTAGTAATCATAATAGTGCTGGAAGGGGACATTTAGGTAATCAAGTCCAGACCTCTGCCCTGTGCAGGAATCCAGATGTAACCATACCATATAAATGTTTCTCTAGTCTTTGCTCTAACATATTTAGTGCAAATGGGATCTCTCTTCTCTGGGGAACTGGTCCCACTATTTAACTATTATGTTAATAACTTTCTACTAAGAATCATTTTGGAGTCTACCATTCTCTAATTCAAATTCTTTATTCTGAAATGAAAGAGAACAGATCTGGAGCTTCTTCTATTTTGATATTCTTTCAGAGCTATTTCACGGAAGAGTACTCCACTCCTCTGTTCACAATAGAATACCTTATGCCACCAGGCATATTTTTGGCTTGGGCAACTTAGAACTATGCTGCCTATGCCTAAGCGTAGTACACAAAATTGTCTGCTACAATGTCCTACCTGTCAATGACTACTTCAGCTTCAACTGCAATAATGCATGGGCAACAACAGATACAAACTCAAGATTAACCGCTCCAAACTTGATTGCAGAAAATATGACTTCAGCAACAGAGTGGTCAATGCCTGGAATGCACTACCCAACTCTGTTGTTACATCCTCAAACCCCCATAACTTTTACCTTAAACTGTCTACCATGGACCTCATCCCATTCCTAAGATGTCTGTAAGGGGCCGTGCATAAGCACACTAGCGTGCCTACCGTCCATGTCCTATTGTCCCCATTTATTCATACCCATTTCCTGTGTTCATGTCCATGTTTAAACTTATACCTGTTATTTCCTACTTATTTGACACTAAATAAATAAATATTTCAAGAGTGGTATTACATCTCCCTTCAATTTTGTATTTCTCCATAGTTTCTAGTCTCTCACCTCTTTGCTGTTCTTCTTGAACTTCTTCCAGATATATGGAACCTATTTTATTCTGCTGCTGGATCCCCTCTTAAATACCTTGATGGAAACCCAGTTACTACTGAATATTTTGTAAAAGGATTAGTCACAAGTCACAAATGAACCAGGCTGAATAGTGTTTATTTTACATATCTAGAGCTTACTGATCAGGTTAATTAACAGCAAGTTTCCAATATTGCACATTGCATGCTGCTTTAGGCCATAAAAATACTTTCACTAATTACTTCAACAAAATTTTTGGGAGGCAACACCCAGTTCATTGGTTATTTTTACTGAAACTTTCTAAAAATGTTGGAGAAATCATTTAGCAATCTTTCACAAGAACCTAGATACCAGTTTAAGACCATATTTCCTAATGCATATAAAATTGATGATTGATGATAATTATGTGCCATCAAGTCAATTTTAACTATTAGTGACCACTTGATAGATTTTCTTCAAATGATCAATCTGGTCCCTCAGCTCCTCCAATGATGCACTTCCAGTGATGCACTGTTATAACTGAGTCTTTTCATCCTGATGTTATGGTCTTCTTTTTCACTTGTGCTCAGATTATAAATTCATTATCATAATTTGAGTCAGGCCATGTGTGTCTTGAGTCAAAAACCTGCACTGAATTGTTCTATTTGTTCTCTTAGCAATACATGATTTTTCCCAAGAATCTTCTCCAATACCAACCAAGCTTAGAGAACATCATGAAATGCACATACTGAGAAAGCTTCCATTTGGTAACTCTTAATAATGGATTGATTTCAGTTACAGGTAGTCCTTGATTTACTAGCACAATTGGGACCGGGATTTCTGTGATAAAACTGCAAGGTCGAACAGACATGAGTCTACAACTATTTTTACTATGGTTTAAGGAGAATCACTGCGATTGTCAAGTGAATCACGTTAAGCACATCACATAATTGTTAAATAAATACAGCTTCCATAATGGCCTTTTTTGGGGTTATAAACTGGCAAAAAAGTTTGCAAATTATGATTGCAAGACTACAGTGTGCTGCAACCAATCATAAATGATTCAATTGCCAATACCCAAATTGCGATCATGTGACTGTTGGGGGTGATACAATGGCTATAAGTGAAAGTACAGGTTGAAAAGCACTTTTTTATGAGGCTGTTGTACTCTCCATCAGCTACAACCTCTGTCTGGTGCATGTTGTATCAAACCTACAGTCTCCCCTTAAACTTGAAAGCCAACTGTGTAGCTTTGGGCCAGTCACTTTCTCTCAGTCCAACTCATTCACATGATTATTGTTGTGGGAAAAATAGGAGGAAGAAGGAGTATTATGCATGTCCATTGCTTTGAGTTATTTACAAAAGTAATAAATCTGGGATAAAAATACATTAGAATATATGAAGTTCAGAAATGGGAATTTCTATTTCTAATATTTTGATTCATCTTGTAAACTTTATCTGATTGCTAGAGACAAACATATCATTCTATTAATTAAGTAGTCTTTAGATTTTTGACTTGAAAGATTAAGACAAGAACTATGCAGGATGTTGATTGTAGCGTGACCCGTCAAAACCGCGGTCCACAAAAGCGCGATCGACGAAAGCGCGCATTTGACGTCATCACAGCGTGACGAAAAAAATTAAAAATTGAAATAAAAATTAAATTAAAGCAAGCCGATT